CTGCATTTCTTTAGGTCCAGTGTTCTATTAATTTAGTCATATCTTACAAGGCTGCCTGTATTAATGCCAGCTGGTGTCTCTAATGAGGTCACAGAATGCTACCGAACGTTCACACACACAATGTCTAAAATAAATAGGAGGTTTGAAGGGTTTTTTTTCCTATTTTTTGTTTTTTTCTGCTAATGCAAACATCTAAGTTGCCATCAGAAACCAAGGTCTGGAAAAGAAACATTTATAGCTTTTAAAATTCAGGTTTTTTAAAATGAAATATTTTCATTTCTAGTTCCCACTAACTTTAACAACAGATGTGAACACCACGCACACAAACAGAAATGTTTGTGCTAAACAGGCAAATGCAATTGCATTTTCCTTCTTTACCTGGGCATTTGCCTATTTTGTGTTAGCAGTTCAGGCAAAACATTTGGATAATGTGCACCTTGACATATACCAGATTATTATTTTTTCTTCATAAACCAGCTATTGTTCAATTCAGTAATTAAAACTTGTCTCAGTTTTGCAGTTCTACCATAAGTGATCTTGTTGAGTTTAATGATTGAAGTGCTCATCTGCAGGACATTAAGTGCACCCTTTGCAAAAATAAGCTGCCATTCAAGACGTGTTCTGAGCACAGTGACAATTAGCACCTTACTTTTTGTGATTCTAATGCGACCCCGATTATTTAAAAAATAATTTCATTACATAGGTAGCCTAAGTAGTAAATGACTTGCCTCCAGCTTACATGTTTCCAGCACAGATAAGGTTAAATATTTCCCTTTACGTGAAGAAGCAGGTTATTGTTATTGCTTGTCAGGAGGAAGTGGTGATTATTTCAATTTATGTCTGTACCTTTAACGAATGCTGTTATTTCTTGTTTTTTGAATGAAAGTGTAGTCCTGTTGAGGCTGATGGTAAATGTGCTTGAGGCAGCCACAAAAGAATGTAACAGAATCACACATCCTCTTTCACCTGATCTTCAGACAATTTTCAAATCTGGTAAGTACTAAAATAAAATAAGTAATCTATAATATATGTATGTGTGATGAATGTATTAAACTGCACACATAAGTAAGAGTGTACTTAAAATGGTGGGCAATGCTTAAAAAATACTTATTGATTCCCTCCAAGTACCAAAAATGTTTTTCCATATAGAAACCTGTCTTTTCCCTGAAATCTTTCTTTATCTATCACTTTTTGTTTGTATAAATCAAATAATGTATTCATATTTAAGATTGTAATTTAGTCTTACCTTTGTGTATTCACATATTGCTGTCATAGTGGAAAGAAATGATGATGTGGATGAAATGGAAAGATAGTAAGCTAAAAATTGAACATAACTACGTTTGTGTGCACATGCATACACAAGTGCCCATATGTAGTATATAAACAATGTTAGAACACACATCCACACCACTATACATATGGAAATTTATTTTTTATAATTACCTAATACATTAATGCTAAATAAAGCCATAAATATGCAGATTGTAAATTATAAATGTGCCTATTGAAAGACTGATAGAATGATTTAAATTGAAAAGACCATTGTGTTTGTAGGAGTTCTGATTCAACTTCCTTTGCAGCCAGTGCATCTTCTTAATAACTTCGGTGAACGCTGTTACAGATTCAGAAAAGGAAATCAGCTCGAGAGATTAAAATCAGATCCTAAATCTGATCTCTGCAGTTCTGGTTTCAGTTTGAGTCCTTCTCTACTGGTCTCGTACCAACAATCCTCAAGAAGCTTTTGCTGGACAGTGGAATTCCTTTGGTGAATAAATCTGTGACTGGTGGTGCCCTCTTGAATTCCTGTAGCGTCAGGGAGAGTACGCAGCTGTCCAGTGATGAGTAGCTGTTTCCTACAGGCTTTCTGCTGAGCTCTTCTGAGGACTAGAGAGCCCTTCTTCAGCGCTAATCTGAAGAGATCTCCTTTCTTAGCCCTCCTTGCAGGCTGTAGGAAGCACCCTGTCTTCTTCCTTCTACATGTTATACTCATGTTTGGGAGTGGCTTTGGCTAAGTGGAATGAAGAGTGACTGTTTTATGGAGAATAGATGCTGTCAGGCTCTCTTTGTATATTTTAACCATGCATGTCCTAGAAAGACATGAATGACAGATACCTAGAAAGGTATTTTTCTTGCAACGATAAAATAAGATTTTCTAAAATAATAACCTAGATGGGTACGCCCTTAGTGCTGTCTAACTGAAGATTTACTGTAGCTGCAGCCAAGTGCAAAGGATATCAGAAACAGCAAGGAAGGGTGTGAGTGTCTGGCTGGACGGGGTCAGAGGAGGTAAAGCAACAGATGCAAACTAAACTCGCTCAAAGATGAGCCAGGGACCACAGCCCCAGGCGAGCTGCACAACTTACCTGCTTGCCTTATACATCTTTGGACTTCTGAGAGACACTTCAAATTGTTTAAAGCTTGCTTCACAAGGTGTTCAAGCACTGTAAGGCTGTCATATTTCTGCAGCTTCTAAAAGTCATATTTGAAAGCCAGCAGAGGAAGCTGAGAGATGGTTAAAGATTTATTTAAAGGGCAGGAAAGCCAGAGATGCTGTGTTGCTTAAGCAACAACATACAGTACGGGTCTTTATGCATCTGCAGCCCTCTGTTATGAGCCAGCCTCCCCCTGTGAGTCATAGCGAGTCTCATCCTCATTATGCTTTTGGAGAGCGTTCAGTCCTTACCCTCCCCCAACTTCCCAGTTATATCTGGACTGCATCTGCCCCACTTTTACAGATTATCTCTCTCTCTCTCTTTCAAAGTTCAGGTAATTCCCAAACAGGAAGGATTTGTTTATCTAGACTTAAAGTTACCTCATGAGCACTTCCTAATTAGCCGCACAACTAGCAAAAAGCAGAGAAACTCTAGACAAAATTGCCATTCACAGCCTTAGCAAATATGGAACCTCGTGCTGTCCAGTCCCTGCAGTTGCTGCGCTGCTGGTACGTCCATTAGCTCACAGGGCAGATAATGGAAAGAAATGGAGGATGGAACTCGTGCAGGGGAATGCTGAGGCACTCAATCTCCTGCCCGTGGGTTCCTGTGTGAGGTTGAACAAGTCACTTAAGCTCAGCTTTGCACATGTGACCACCAATGGCACGTTCCCCATTTTATCTGTCTGTGACTTTGGACTCTGTGGTCCGATTTGCAGAAGTCTGAGCCTCGTTGCAACCAGAGTCAATGGATTTAATCATTTACATAACTGAAGTCCTTCACAATGCTAAGCACTCTTAAAAGTGATGTTGAGGGGGACACAGATGTCTCGAACAGAACATCTCAAGTGGGTACTTACTGTAATGACTCAGTGCTCAGGTTCCTTCCCTGTAAAATAAAGATAATAATACCTCCTCACCACAGGGTGTTGTGCAAATTAATTAATTACCATTTGTAAAATACTTCGGTATCACAGTGATAAAGAAAACAAATTATTTTCATAGAGTACAGTCTTATTACACAAAGATCTGCGCACTGAACAAAGACAAAACAACACTAGTGCTCAATCTGTTCATATGTTGCATACTATCTTTTGCACTATAAGAAGCGATTATCCTGGGACTCTTAATTTACCTCACTAGTGTAATAAATAAAAAAGGTCAACTAATGTGATGGTAACAGTGCCGAGACACACTGATAAAATGCCGGAGTTTAAAAAAAAAAAAAAGTTAAAGTGCCGCATTACTGTTATGGAGTAGACTAAGGTAGTGTTGTTTATTTGTTCCATGTTTCCCTCAATACACTGATTGTCATTGTCACACAGAATTTCTAAAAGTAAAATTTAATTATTTACTCTACTTTCTTGTGGTGCAAAGTCAATGTGAAGTGTGAGTTACTTATTCTCATATATCATTTATTAGCTCTATGAATAAACATTCCATATGTAAGATTGTGCTTTTAATGATACTGATACAAACCATCCACTTCCCACAACTGCAGAGATGTGTGATTTGTTGAGATCCTGCTGTGTATTGTTGATATAGTCGAAGTGAAGAGATTCTTCTTTGAATAAATGTTTTATTTCCAATTGTGTTTTCTACTTGTTCACATTTCTTGTGCTGTTTTCCCAATCAAATCTACTTTATTTTCTTTTCAGAAGTCCTTGGGAAAACATTTTGAAGTTCTTTTCAACATATTTTTCTTTCTCAGAAGTGTACTGCCAAAATGAATTTTGTAAGTACCTAATTGATAGGCTATATTAGTACATCAATAAAGCAATGAATCTGGAAGTCCCAGCTCTTTGGGGCTGCTGGTCCAAGTGCTCTAATCTCAGGAGTGATTACCTGAAGAGTTGTTTCTGACAGCAGAGTTCACTGTCAAAGCACACTGTTTATTGGGTTTGCACTCTCCTAATGTAACTATAGGTTTGGTGTCTGTGGTGCAGGTACTGTGTCTCAGACTAGCCATCCTGAATTGCCTGCGTCAGTATGAAATGTATAACATGCTACAAAAGCCTGTTCCCCTCCTTTGACGGTAAAGGAAGTCTAGACCCCTTCTTCAAATTCAGACTTATACACTGTAGAGTCTTCTGTGATGACAAACTAATCATTTCTGCATAGTGTATTTAAAGATGGAAACCTTTGGGTCATCCAAAAAGACTATCTCCGTGTTCATATTTTAATTAAGATTTTATGAAATTCTCTAGTTAGTTCTTACAAGCCTCCCCTGCAGCGTTAAATACATTTGTAATTGGGGTGTGTGGTGGGTGGAAACAGTGTAAAACATGTAGTGTTGGAGGAAACATCAGTGCTGTGGACTATCTTGAGATGAGTTTGATACAGACTTGAAGCTGAGGCATGGGAAGGACTGGACAGAAGTATTACAGTTATCATAAGAGAAACGTCACTTCCATTTCAACTCAGCAAGCCATATAATACTTGCATGCTAATTTTTGAAAGATTTCCAAAGTACCTTGTATTTGTATGACTTTGTTATCTATCATCTTTCTACTATATAGAAATCAGAGATTAACACCTATGTGTTAACTGGTGATCTTCTTTTTTACAGACAGAGCCTCGTACCATAGATTATCCATATTATTCAGACTATGCTTCTCTAATCATGCAACCTTGTTCTAAGTTGGAAGTCAGGAACTTCACAAAAGCATTTCTGCCAGTTGCATATTCATTGATTTGTATCATCGGCCTAGTCGGCAACATCTTTGTAGTGATGACCTTTACTTTATATGAAAGAACCAAGTCCATGACGGATGTGTACCTCCTCAACATGGCGATAGCAGACATACTGTTCGTTCTCACTCTCCCACTGTGGGCAGTGAATTATGCTGCTGACAAATGGATTTTCGGTGATTTCATTTGCAAAATGACCAGAGGTATCTATGCAATCAACTTCAGCTGCGGCATGCTGCTTTTGGCCTTTATCAGTGTGGACCGGTACATTGCTATCGTGCAAGCAACAAAGTCATTTAAACTCAGGGCAAGAACGCTCGCATATAGTAAAGTCATTTGTTTGGTCGTGTGGGTATCATCAATTTTAATCTCTAGTTCCTCTTTTCTATACAGTGAAAGTTACAGCTTCTCTACCAATGAAACCAAAGAAATTTGTGACCAAAGATTTGACAGAATCTCTGACAGCACAATGCTGAAATCACTGCTGCTGTGTATACAAGTTGGATTTGGATTTTTTATACCTTTCATATTCATGGTTTTTTGCTATGCATTCATTGTCAAATCCTTACAACAAGCTCAGAATTCCAAAAGAAACAAAGCAATCCGTGTGATCATATTAATTGTAGCTATTTTCCTAGTTTGCCAGGTACCTTATAACATTGTTCTTCTTGTAACAGCTGTAAATATGGGCAAGATAGACAAATCTTGTGACAATGACAAGATAATGGCCTATGCAAAATACACCACTGAAGCCATAGCATTTTTACACTGTTGTGTGAACCCTGTGCTCTATGCATTTATTGGAGTGAAGTTCAGAAGTCATTTTGTGAAGATAATGAAGGACCTATGGTGCATGAGATACAAGAAATACAATAAACGCAGTTCAAGGACAAATTCTGATATTTATCATTCAAGACAAACTAGTGAAATTCTGACTGACAATGCATCTTCTTTTACTCTATAATACAATCTGAACAACATTATTACTGAAGGACCCTTCTCACCGACCAATCCAACCCAGTGTCACGGTGTCTGTGACAGCAAGTCATTTGGGCTTCCCTGCAGCTTTAAGGGAGGTCCCACAATCTACAACTCCTTTCAGGAAAAAGAATTAAGATAGAAGAATAACACCGTCTTGTGGAACATGAAAATCTTATTCACCTCTCTTAACATTCACAGTCTTCTAAAACGCACTCTCTTAGAATTATCAGGAAAGTGAAGTTTACACTCCTTGTTTTCTACAGAAAAAAATGCATCTCATCTGTCCTACATCACTGAAATATCCCAAAAGCACTAAGTAAATGAATCAGGTTATGTACAGGCTCATTCCACTTATATTTATGTTGTTTCTGTTAATTACTTCTACCTGGAAATCCTATTTAAGTGTAGGTCTCCACTGTGCTTTTTTTGCAGACAGGTCACGCTGTGACAATGCTAACCTAAAGGAGATGGCATTTTGAGCAAAGCATGGCAAGGAGAGCAAACAGAGAAATGAATAAACAGGCTCAAGGCTGCTGACATAGCTGGGCTTAGGTGTTAGGTCTCGTAAGTCTTTGCCTGGTTCTACATTCCACCTGGTCATGGGGAGTTGCTTACACCAAGGCTGAAGCTGGTCAAAGCCAACAGTGACACAGCTACTACTAAAGAGAATATTACAAAAAAAAAAAAAAAAAAAGAAAAAGAAAGAAAATTATTCATTAATGAGAACACTGAAATATCCACAGAAAGGTTTTCTGACATCTCCTGAGATTATCTTCTGAACAGAGAATGGAGCTTTGCTTAAGAGATTCTTCTTTACTTTGGCACAGGATTCAGGTGCTGGAATCCATCAAAGCTGATCATCTGGTGAACGTCTCTTTGTGCAAAGTTGTTTCTTTCTAGATGAAATCTACACTCCACTCTTTAGAAGGTGACAAACTGTACAGAACTGCAGTTATTCCAACACTATTTGTTGGAACGTGATCAGTGACAAAACATGATGCATTTCTTGGTATTTAGCTACCATTACCAAAGTTTCCTTAGGAATGGATTTACTAGCACAAATATGTATATATGAAATTTACTTTATTAGCTTCAGAAATTATTAAGGACTGTATCTAAAAATAAGACCAGAATCTGACTTAACTCAGCCAGAATTTTTACTGAATCAGTATTTGACTCACTATGAATATAGGAATATTTATAATAAATGCAATTAATTTTACCCAGCCGTGACTTTTTAGCAAATCCCCAGTGGATCTTCTGCTCCTCGAATGAGCTTCACCACACTGTAGCAGTCATAGCGGGATGGCGAGGTAGAGAAGAGCAGGAGCTGGAGGGCACAGGGGCAGGACGGAGGAGAGACGAGGAGCACCACTGTTTGCAGTCTGCTGAAGTACCTACCAGTCCTCTGCAGTTCTGCTGCAATGGCACCATGAGCCATGATGGTATCTGGATTTACTGTTGTGTGGGACATTACACTCCTATGGCTGTGTAAATTAATTCAATTTGTGGCTTGCTGTTTACCTTGGTTGTTTTTTGTTGTTTGGTTTTTTTTAAAGTTCATAACTGAAGACAGTCGTCTTTGCAGTGTGAGTTTTTTAAATATCAATGTCAGGTGTGATAAAGATGGCATGTATTTATCGTGACTGAATAGCAACTTATGCAAGAATATGATACAAAATTATGTAAATGCAGATGCATGCATTTGCTGTATATAGCACTGAAGATTTTCTGGATGAGAAGTCAACAAATAAAAAATGTAACTGAAAAGGAAAAAAATCCCCTCAGATCTAAGAGTTTCTTGCTACACGTATTGCCTCAGAACATTCTCTTATTCAGTGCAAAATTTCCCATATCTTAACAATGCAGCATCTCTCCCTCAGAGGCTGCATGAGGGAGCTTGCCCTAGGGCAGGATGTCCATGACTGAAGTCCACCGAGCACTATGGCGACTCTTGGGCAGAGCCCCATGAGGCTCGAAATCATACCCCCACCCTCCTGCCGGCCCTGCTGCCATGCCTACGTTGGTCTTCAGCCACTGAACAACCCAAATGTTGTCCCGATGGCCACCGGGGTGGGGTTGGAGGGTGAGACGGCGGCCAAGGGGCAGTCGCTGACCCTGCCACTGTCACCGTCCGACCGGAGGGGGCTGGCTGACAGACGCGTGCGCCATAGGCGTCGTGAAGCCCCTGGTAACCGTGAGGGGCCCTGACGAGTTGGAAACGGCAGTGGTGGGACATCTGCCTCACGCGGGGGCAACACAACCTCCTGGCTGCTGTCTTGTGGGAGGGAAAAAACGCTCACTGGAAATGACACTGAGAAGCAGAAAGTGTAGCCATGGTTCGCATCGGGGAGAAGTGTCACAGAGGGAAGGGGAATGTGGTGCGTGTGTGAGACCAAAATGGTGCTTGCGGTATGAATTGTGCTGATGTCAGGGTCTTGTGAAAAATCCCACTTGAGATGCAGCCAAAATCTTGATCGCCATGAATGATCACCCTGTCTCTGAGAGAAACGGGGGTGAAGGCTAGGACGGGCTCCCAAGGGGCTGCTGAGCAGGTAGAACTGCAGCTCCAACCCGCAGGCATACTATGATAAAAGCCAAGGAAATGATTTCACAAAACCACTGAAAGAGGCTCATGATCTGTTGTTTTAGGCTGCTGCCGAGCAATCACGGTATTCCTCCTACCACCACCTATGGGTTAGGAGCTCATACGCTCTTTGAAGCAGTCCGTGCAAAGTAAACGCCGAAAACAAAAAACATGATGATGTTGCACCCTTATGTTGTACTACAGCGATAGCTCTTAATTCTGTTCTGGGTGGTGTAGTTGCAGGTTCTTCAGGCTGAAGAGGGAACTAAATGACATCTTCTCTACTGTGGGCAAATGACCTGGTAATGACATGACCACTAAGCAAAGAGTTGTTCTCTGGGGAGCTTTGAGCATAGTTAAGTTCCTTAAAACAAATTCTCCTTTTTTGGTTGAATGAACTCCATTGTCCAACCTGAGTTGAAAAGTGTCTGGGTTTTATTTTAGTCAAAAACCCAAAACATATTCATTAAAAAGCTATTTTGATGGTGAAAGTTCTTATCCACCAAGTCAGGACCCCTTTTCCTACAAACTGAACAACCTGTTGGTTGTACAATTTTCTAGCTGACATTCATAGTCAGTTCTCTTTGGATTGATGGTATTATGCAACCTAAGTGCATATCCTGATGCACCATTCATGTTTTTAACAAAATCATCATTTTCCATTTATTTTCATTGCCTTTTTATTAGAAATACATAGTGAATTACTGCATTATCAATTTGATCTGTATGTAGCAGAGTTAAATCAATGAAATTTAACATTCTTCTATCAAATTTTTTAAAGGTCTTTTCCAGTTTTAATATAGTTTTCCCATTGCCAGACATTTATTTTAGTTAGAACAAATTAATGTAATGATAAATATTTAATCTGTAGTAACTGGAATCTATTTATAAGCTTGTGATTCAGTGAGGATTAGGGGAAGTAGAGAACACTCACCTCTTTCCATAAGAAAAAATGGCTGAACATTGAAGCTTTTCTTCAAAATAGAAAATATCTGTGATCTCGATTTGCATCAACCATAGAGAGCCCTGATGTTTCAGTACAAAACATGGTAGTTTTATTTGTGAAGAATTTGTGCTTAGTCCTATCTAGTGGTTAGGATTTATAAAGGAAAAAAGCTATCTAATTACCAGAAAATTACCAGATTATTTTTTTGTTGTTGTTTCTTAGCCTGGATTGGATCAGTGTGGAGCAGTGATTTCTGCTCCCATTTCTGAAAAAACTTTTACAGAGATATGGAGCCATTAAAGTAGTTACAACTGGAACTCTACTTGCTATCCTTGATTTCTTTGCTCTTCTTTTGCTAGTATTCAGTTTTTAATCTATGAACTTCTGGTAAGTATCAGGTCAAGTTTTGCTTCTGGTCCATGTAATGTGTTATTCTTATTTGCTAGTATCAAGTATATTTTTATAAAAAACAATTTCTAAGTTCTGTATTCCATTACAAAATAAAAAACCAAACCCCAACAAACCAACAACCAAAAAACCCACAAAAAAACCCCCACCAAAAACCAGAGAAACCCCAAACCAGAATGGAAGAGAAAAAGGAACACTGATACAGAAAGCATACTGTTTGTCAGAATGTATGAATGATGTGTATTTATGGTAGATGGTTTGATTTCTAGGAGACATCCATTTACAAAGTTAAAATAGTCTTATTAATGTATCCTAGGTGAATTATAATGTATTGTAATCATCTGTCTTGCAAAATCTTAATAGAAAAATGTAAACACATTTGTATTTATTTTTGTGATTCAGATTCAAAACAGATTCTGCTCATGACAATGGCAATAACAGTACTGTTTCCAGAGGCTTTTTCCAGTTTATGGTATTTTCAGACCAGTGGATATATATGCTGGTTTTACACTTCGGAAGCAACTGCTAGTAATAAAAGACAGCATCAGCAGGGATGCAAATAGTCAAAACAGAGATCAAAGGACCTGTTGCACCTTTTACATTGTAGCTAATTTGGCATGAACACAGTGTATGTTAATTAAAGTATTATGTACTCTGGGATTTTCATAAAAACAGGATTTTAAAACAGATCTATCAGTGCAGGAAACATTTTTTACTTTGTCTTCATTAACCTCTCTTGTTCTTGTCTTAGGCTGCATGCAGCTGGATTAATTACAAAATACTTCTAACTGTTGCTGCTCTCAACAGTTTCCCTCTCAAGTTTTCTATAAATACCTGTTGTTTTGTAATTTGACTTTAAAATATCTTATTGAAGAAAGCCATAGAAATCACAATTTTAAGAGGGCTTTATTGCTTTTACTAGAGGACTAAATTTCTTTTCAATTTTTCTGTTGTTTTCATTTATTTCCATAAGGCTACAAATTATTGTTTTGTGGTAATGATACAACACTGCAGAAACATCTTAAGTTGCATAAAATTGTTA